TAGCTTTCAGGGCGTGGCGAGACTACAGCTGGACGATGCGAGGAGTCGACCGTCTGCCAGGTCCGGAGCCTGCAGCCCGTTCCTGCCAGCTACCTTGAGGGCGACGCCCCCGTAACCAAGAACATCCGATCTCTTTGGTGCTTCTACTTGCCTCACATTCTTGCCTTCTGTGTGTCGTATGCCTTGTTAATTCCTTTGATTGCTTGTAATCTATCCTATACACTTTATTCGCTTTTGTGCCTTAAAGATAAATTATATATAACCTTGTACCTAGAGTATCACAGAAGCAGGCGATAAGCACCTTCCCTGCGGGCGCTAGCTGACTCTCACAAGAAAAGCAACTCGTTCGAAACTTGGAACTAACGCACCTTCGGCACTAACGTGCTTGTGGGAAGGGACCTTCCTGTAGCATGTGCACGCCTCCTCCCTCAGCCAAGGCTTACGCGCAGAAAGCAGAGTCCGAGTTGGTAACAACTGGCGCACTCTCCAGCGCTTCCGTATCCCCGCCCAGACGAGTGGTCCCTCCCTGCCCAGGACTCCAGAAATTTCGGCTCCGAGCTCATTTTCAAATTGCCTAAGTCACCAAATCCACTAAAACTTGTATAGGGGTAATTCAACATCCTGATTACGAGTATGACACTCATTCTTGGCGCTGGCGCCAAGAGAGGACACTACGATTACCTCCTGGGCTCAGCCTTAGCAGAGCGCAGGTAACCGTAGTGTCATCCATTAGCGCCAGCGCCAAAAATGAATGTCATATTCGTGATCAGGATGTTGAATTACCCCTATATACAAGTTTTTAGCGGATTTGGTGATCTTGCCACTTTTAAAATGAGCTCGGAGCCGAAATTTCTGGAGTCCAAACGGCATTAGCCCTCTCCGCGAGGGTGTCAGTACAACCGCCCTCCCCCCACTCAAATGAGGGTCTCGGTACGACCCTCTCACCCCCCCCCCTTTCCCCAGCACCTACCCACCAATTCCCCACCACATTTTCCAGTTTTTCACCCAAAAATTTTCCGTCGAGCGGGGGAGGGGTATACAGCCAGTGTGGAGCGGGAGAATTTCCCCAACTTCCTACCACTTTTTCCGATTTCAATTTTGCTGTCGAGCGAAGGGGGGGGGGGTGAGGGGTATATAGTGCACATGAAACAGGAACAGGAAAATCACACAAAAGAGTGAACAGCCGGGAAGCCTCAATGTTAATGACAAATCCAGAGGAGTTGCATTTTAATCTCAGAACATGACTCTTCTATATTCTCAAATACTGAAGGGTTTTCTTTATGAAAACATTATAAATCAATGGTGAGGACGAGTGACCTCACCCAGTGGACGCCTCCCTTACCTGTCATAAGTCGACATGAGAATTGATCGGTACGAACCCATACTGGTGTACTTGATGGCACTTTCCATAGACAAGAATGTGACTTTGAAGAATATCGAATTTCCCTCGAGATCTGTGGGAGAGAAGATGGTCTTTTTTATATTCATTTTTTTGAAATTTGTTTGCTATATTTGTGGAATTCCTAATCAGAGGACCAGGACACCAAAGGCGAAAAATATTTTCCGAAGAAAACACTTTTATTCTGAAAACTTCTGGAAGCCCCACCCAAGGACACAGTCATTTCGGGTGTTCATTCTTATAGGGAACAGAGGATGCAGGATTGGACGTTGATGCACTTCGGCGATGGAGGGGGCATTTTGCTTCCCATCGATGTGCCGACCATTTCCTTGAGTTGACACGTTTTTACGACGGAGCTTACCCCAGCTTCACAAAAGTTCACAATTTTCACCAGAGTGAGACTTGTAAAGGGAGACCTGTAAACTGGGAGTAGTGAAGCAGTGAAAGCGCAAAATGCCTCCCCCCGTCGCCGAACTGCGCGTTGGACGTTTATTCAAGCCGTGAGGAGTGCCCCGCGGGGCGGGGGGTGTCCGTCTGAACTACGCACTCGGAACAAAAAACTAGACAAGGTTTGCTACGAGGGATGAGCTAAACTCTGCACTGCTTGCTGGCTTACAACTTAGGAAGTTCACGAAAATGGCCGGGGCTTCACACAGTGGGCGGAGCTTTATGCGGTGGGTGGGGCAAGTGGATGTGGGTCGGGGATCGCTGGTGAACCTACCGGTGTAAAAATCAGGGCTAAAGCGTGACTTCGTCTGCCCCAAGTTGACGGGAAGACGATGCCAAATCAGAGACAGGGAGGTGACGCATTTCCAAAGAAGCATCGACCAGAATCACCCAGCGTCATCAGAGTGACTAATGATGTGCCAAAATCACGTATGTCAACAGTGGGGCTTGTAATCGATTTCGTTCCTCCACAGAATGCTTCGATGAGCTTCTGAAACTGTGCCGCGCTTGATAAGGCATTTCCTTTTGCGTCAACCGCCATGCCATTGGCATTTCCTTTTGCGTCACGGATTTCTCGAACAACGGACACCACCAGGCATTGTGGACTTCCAACACAGGTGATTTCCTATTTTCTTAGATCCTTGAGGAATGGCCCTCTCTAACGACTTACTCTGTCATGTCATGACTGGAAAAAAGGGGATTCGTCGAACTTATTCTTGAAAGGTCTCTAGAAAAAGCGTATAGTATAAGGCAAGCCTTTGAAACGATCCGCGATCTGTTGTAAGAATCTGAGCGCTGCGTGAAATAGTGTGAACCGTCAGTCAACACACTGTGCAAGCTTGCGTCAGGAAGTTGTAAGTTCGGGACGCTAAAGCCGAAGGTTGTTCAAGTAACTCCACCCGCCTCCACCCGCATAGTTGTTGTGCCTGTTGTTTCTCCCCCATAACTCTCCCTTCTCTTGTCTGTCTTCTTACACAAAACACATCCAGGTTCTTTTTCTCACTTCACTTCGGTTTTTCTCTCGTCGCTTGCGACAAAAACGCCCTAAATTGGAGTTTTTTTCGAGGGCTTTCTGGAATTTCCCCTCGCCGTGCAAGTGAATCAGCATGAAATTTCATTTTCCGACTGGTTTCTACCAACTTTTTGCTCTTCTGAGCTTCCTAGGTGCAACGGGGCGTGAATGTTTTGGTACCCGGGTGCCGTTCCCGGACCCCACTGGCTGCCACACGGCCACCCACACGTCTGACTATATCGGGCACCTAATCGTTGGGGATTACCCAACAGGGTTACAGAGTCGCTGGGGGAAGGGGGGGGGTCGTATTTGGTCTGAGAAACAGTTTGATGGTTTACTTTTAAAGACTAGTGGGAAGATGGGGAAAATCCAAGAGAAGGTAGGTGAGATGGTGGGGTCTTATTTCTCTCGCGGTTTTTTTTCAGCTCAATTAATCACAGGAGGGATCTAGTGGAGGTGTATCAAGCCCCGTTCCGACGTCGTACGGACTTGACAAATCCCTACTAATGTTGTGCTCTGACCGTAGCCGAGCGTCTACCCTCGTCATCCGGGCAGTTGATTAGGGCGGTCGTCAACGGGCCGCAGCGCGTGCCAGGAACTATTTGCTTTTTCCAGGCTAATTTAGTCATTTTTTCCAACTTTTCACTGTTTTGGCTACTTTTTCCCAGATTAGCAGCTCCTTATCTTCACAAGGTGGAAAAAATGACTAAATTAGCCTGGAAAAGCAAATAGTTCCTGGCACGCGCTGCGGCCCGTTGACGACCGCCCTAATCAACTGCCCGGATGACGAGGTTATGTGTCTGCATTATCTCAGTTCAAGTTGTTCTCTACCACTGACTGCGTGTTCGCTGCGGCATTTCAGGGACCCGGGCGATTCTATCGTCGGCAAGACAGGTCACGTCGCACACGTCGCGTCGCGGCGTGTCGCGCGGCCACGCGGCGCGGCAATCCCGGCGTTGCATTACCGTACTCCCGAGTTGTCACTGGAGCAAGGGATTAGCGTTGTTTCAAAGGTAACCTCAAGAGTAAGAGTAATAGTCAATAATCATAACAGGAAAGGAAATAGGATAGGAAAGACATAATAATAGGGAGATAACCAAAATAAGATGACTATTTCAAATTGTTAAAGGGATCGTCAACCCTTTAACAATTTGAACGCCGCGCAACAGAACTCGTACGCGGCGGCCGCCACGCCGCCGGCTCCGCCCACCGGCGCGACGACCCACTTATCGTCGACGATAGAATCGCCACACACCCGGCATTTTAATATCGACGCAACTGCTTTGAGGCTTGCGTCGAATCAGGAATGGCATCTTTCCTTCAGCCGCATTCCGCGTGTCTTCGAGTGAACAAGTGGCGAAAGTGTCACACCTGTACCCTTGGGAGGGAAGTCATTGGAGCAGATAGTAGGCTAGCAATTGGATGTTCAAAGCTTTAGCACCTCACCTTGTACATGTGCTTTGCATTGTCGGTAAACTCTTCCATACTATTGGTAATCATTTTCTTTATCACAAAACATTTCAAGTAAATCAAATAATGCTCGCTGCTATCGGTAATCTTCTCCTACCTCGCTAGCAGTTTGCTGATTCAGCTTCTTCGAGTGACGGAGAGCTAGGGACCTCCGGAAGCACAACTTATGGGAGGGGAGGTCAGTCCTAATATGAAGTCACTGACTGCTCACCATTGACGACAAAGCAACGAAATAGTTAAGGACGCTCTAAATGGGAAATAGTGTTGGACGAGCGTTCGAAAAAGCGAGACATTGCGGCGTTGGTGAGAGAGCAGAGACAGAAAATAAGAAACCAGAAGTGAATGCGGAAGTATAGACAAGGTCTCAAATAGAAATGAGTGCGACACAGTTACATCCGTGTGGGACGAGTAGCCTCGGCCAGTCGTAAAGATGGAGCAACTTCCACATGCGGCGTACCTTCACCTAGGATCAGCCTTAACACCCACTCCGCCATGGGAAAGTGCGATAACCTCTGACATTGTGGATCGTACAGGCAAGGTTCCCGCGATCAGATAGCAAAGAAACATACCCGCAAAACAGTGGTAGCCGAAAAGGACAGGCGCAGAGCAAGTGAAAGTGTGTTTTCTCTGTTTCAGGTGGGGTGTTTTATACATGGCGCGCTGGGGACATGTATGGAGATATTTTGCTACGTGTTCCTTCCACCAGTAGCAAGTAAGTGTGCTACATCTCTAAAACTTTTTTTTTTCGATAAAATTTGGGAAAATTGCAGTAATACTTCCCAACCATTAGCGACTTGCAATGAAGATCATGTGTTATGAAGAGCGCAGAGCCCCGTAGAAGGCTTTCTTTGTGCAATCTGGAAAGCCTCACGACAGAGTTATCCTCAAGCAACTATGACTGCAGCGTGCAGCAGTTGAGATAATTCTTCTGGGTACCGTATTTGGTCGTTGGAAGAGGTGTATGGAAGACGCCAGGGTTAAGATGAATCAGCAATGAAGAACAAGCGAAGGAAAGGTAACAGAACAGGTGCCATTGAAGACACGGTCCGGGAATCGCGGGTGCGCGAGTGCGTTCGCGATCATCGGGAGGGTGGTACCAATATTCCATGGCGGTGATGGAGGCGAAAACACGAGGAGTACCCTAATGGCGTCGTCTCTTGTCTCCACCCACTCGCCAATCGTAAGGCTGCGTTTATACTTTGCGGCAGCGTAGCGTAGCGCTTCCAGCGTACGCCAGCGGCAGTGCCGGGGAGAGGATGGATATCGATCTAGCGTTCCCAGCGTAACGCTAGCGTACGCCAGCGTTTCTCCAGCGTTTCACCAGCGTTTTGCTGGCGTTTGCAGCGGCAGGGGAGTAGAGACTATGTGGCCGTAAGAGACGCGCAATCGATGTGTATTGTAGAGACTATGTGGCCGTCAGAGACGCAGAATCGATGTGTATTGTAGAGACTGAGGGCGAGTGAGAGACGCGCAATCGATGTGTTTTGTACCCTCCAGCTCTCCCATAGTCTCTACTCCCCTGCCGCTGCAAACGCTAGCAAAACGCTGGTGAAACGCTGGAGAAACGCTGGCGTACGCTAGCGTTACGCTGGTGACGCTGGGAACGCTAGATCGATATGCATCCTCTCCCCGGCACTGCCGCTGGCGTACGCTGGAAGCGCTACGCTACGCTGCCGCAAAGTATAACGCAGCCTAAGTGTTGCTCTCACGTTGTTAGATCTGCCCTCAGAGGGGTTAGATTCAACTGGTGAGTGATTTGGCCTAACTTTCAAAAACTGAGTGGATCCTCTTACGTGAAACACTTGGGAAATCTGTTTTCAGGATGGATTTTCATAACACTGGCTGTTCTTCTACTATTGGTATTTTTAGCAGGATGTAAGACAATGAAACTGTCTCTCATTCGGCTTTTCGTGATATCCAATGTGAGCCACTTTTGAAGCTTCAAACAATGTTGTCGACAAAATTAGTAAATGTAGAAATGTGGAAAGGAATCGGGGGCAGTTCGGCTTAGTGGGGACTCTCTAGCGATATTTTTTGTATAGACTGTGAACTCTTGGAAAGCTAAGCCAGCTTCGTTTACACTTAAGAGTGTACAAGTCTCACCAAGGGGTGGCTCGGTGATTCTGATTCAACTGAAAGGAGCCAGCAGACGAAACAAGCCAAAGTGCGAAATGCCCCTCCCAAGCCGAACAGCGCCAGGAATCGCGCCTTGTTTTTGAATTTCACCTCAAATTATATACAATCAAGTGCGTCGATTTGTTCAACATGATGAACCTACAAGAAAATAGCCCTGGGATCTTACAGTTAGAAGTTGGGTGGATTACGCTGAAATTCAAAAGACCGTATAGAGCAACTCATCCCCCGTACGCGGTTATATGACATACAAGATGCCTATCGTTGTCAGATATAACGAACAACAGTTCCTCAACAGAATAGGAGACCGCAGAGAAGTAGCGCGATTGATCTGTGGCCGGTAGTGTGTGTTACGGTAGTCGTATTGCGTGCGGTGTGCTTCGCATGGGGTGGAGCCCCAAACAAATTAGTCTAATACTACCCTCCATCCGCACACCCGCTCGCTTTTGGGCAGAAAAAGCGGGCTTATTCAATCTCCACCTAGCAAGGGCCAGGATTCACAGTTGTAGGCAGGGCACATCATTGGTCGCGGTTTTGGTCGAGTTCGTACAAAACCCAATTCAGGGGGTTGATGCCCCCCCCCTTCTCGGTGGCTCGATACGCCTTCTTCCTCTGAACCTACACACCATTTCCCAGACCTTCCTAACTTCCTGCCACGTTTCTAGAATTCCCCGGAAACCTTCTTACTTTTTTCCAAAAATTTTGCTGTCGAGTGATGAGGGAGGAGAAGGGGGTGAGGTGGGTATAGCACATTAAACAAGAAAAAACCCAGCAACCTTTCCAACATTTCTCAGAAGAACGTCAGAAGTCCAATGCGACCCCTCCTCCGACAACGAGCAACTACGACCCCACCCACCCCTTTACACCGTATCTATAACAAGGAAAATAAACTATAAAAAAACTTTCCTCAGCCGAAATGCGACCCCCTCAACCAGCGACCGAATGCCACCCCGCCCCCGCTTGTTGGGGAATACCCAACAAATATGTGCTCTGGTTGTAGGTGTATAATTTGCAGCTATACTACGTGACCTGGAAGGTCGATTAGTATAGCGGTTTGAAAACGTCGCTTGCTCTTGGCTACATTCAAATCGAGTCTTTTTCCGTTGCATGCGAATAATTTCCTTGATTTCAGCTCTTCATGAAAATTCCAGTATTCATTGTTACCTACTATATCATTTTTACATTAAAATCATACGATCAGCCGACTCATTTCCCTCCGGATAGTTGCTATCAGTGCTGGCTCTACAGACAGCGTAAGTTGGTCAAAATTAATGAAGTGCTAATACACGTACATATTTTGTATCAAATTCACACATTTTTTACTTCGGCTCTTTATTTTATCCTTGTCTATTCGATGCTGGTTGATGGACTTTGGGCGAGATTCAGCTTGAATGGGGCAAGTCGCACTTAGGCTATTTTCGTCGGTGGTTTAGACAGGTTTCGTTTTGGTGGGACCTGTGAACTCGTGTGAAGTTGCGAAACGGAATAAGTGAGCCTCTTAGACCGCAGTAGTCACAGGTCTTAACAAGGTGGGCTGTACAAGCTTCGCTGAGTACCATTCGGTGCCCCCACCAAGCCGAACTGCGCCAATACGCTTATTCAGACCCATACACTGTGGAACATAGGATCTCGAAGTGCAGGGCTTATGCCACTTCACTTTTGAGCACTCAGTGGGCGCTGTTGGGCCAAGGGGAGTGGAGGGGGTGTTTGCCATCAACTACTTCCCGTTGAATCACGCCTTTACCTTGGTAAGACCTGTATACTCTTATTAAGTGTAAATGGAGTTTATGCTATTGCGAAGTTCACAGAAATGTTCGTCTTCCCGCAGGAGGCATCGCCATGATTGATGCGATCCAGCATTATACCCCCACTAAGCGGAACCGCGCCCACTCAAAGTGCTTTTCAGTGGCAGTAGGCACCGAATTTGGGGCACACGGGGTAAACAGAAGTTTGATAAAAAAGAGATCAGAAATCTGAGAGACAGAGGCTTGTTTCGTGGCTAAAGCGACTTGGCATGGCCCTGCTGACTGCGGCCCCATTAGCGAATGGCGCCTCATTTAGGCACCGTCCAAACTTCGCGACGCGCGGCCGAAGCACTGCCGTCGCAAAGTCTGAACGCTGCCTGATCTCTGTGGATGCTGTGGCATTCCTTTGTGGATGCGTTTGGCGTGACGGAAGCCCATTCTCTACTAACTGTTATCGCCTGCCAGTCTTCGCGGTTGGTGGAAAACAGGCAGACACAGCGCTAGACCCAGCCCCTGCCGCACCTGAGGCTTTCTCGATGGCAGCTGGCTCTTTCGCCGCCCCGAAAGAAAGTTAATGATGGGCCATGTGGGCCAAGTTCTCGAGGGAGCTCGCTAATCCTCCAGTGATAGCAGTGAAACACACAAAATTGTTCTTTTTAGCTGTTGGCCTCCTGTCGGCTGCTTTCATCATGACCTTCGCCTGTCCGGTTTTCGATGGAATTTCCACGGCTTGCCTTACGAAGCTTGAGCTACTCGCTCAAGGAGTGACGACTGTTGTGTAAGTATATTAGCAGCTTTTTGTAGACTTCCACTTATAGTTGATATCTCCGCAGTCAATCGAAGCAGTATCAGGAGGCGTGGAATGAGCCCACTCGCGGCCTTTAACTATCGCTCAAGTAACACTCTCGATGTCTAACATCGGAATGGAGACAATCTTACTATAATGACAAATGCACGGTTTCACTTTTACCTGACTCAGTATCTCTACACTCAGTCGATTTGAAATCCTCTACCTCTGGTTGTTTTCTTCCTGATTTGATCACTAACCGACCAGTACTGGAAGACAACAGAGCCGAAGGATGGGCTCGCGTTACGCCTCACTCCGCCCCGACTGATTGACGGTATCAACATTATTTACTTGAAAGTTTAGCCGATTATTCTCAGCCTAACCAACCAACCGACATGCCAGAGTACCCGTCAGCTTAGAAGACTATAGACATGAATTTTTGGCAGCGAGTATTCAGTATTCCTACACGTTCATGAAAAGGCAGATGGCACGATAAATTCCTAAGACGAGTAGGATTAATACGTCTGGCAGAACGGAACTCCGCTCCTCTGAGCAGGCGCTGCATAGCTTTTTTTTAATGTATTTGCGATGTAAAATATGGAGCGAAGAGACTTCTTCGGCGGTTTTGACCAATCACTTGGTTTTTTGGCCATTTCCCCACTACTTACACTACCAGTCGAATCGCCCGTCTTCGGCGGGCGATCCTCCTTACGCGTGTAAAGTGGGTCTCCGGCCTTCCAACCTGAGGCGGATCGCCCGCCTACGGCGAAGAAAATTTTTTTTTGCAATTCCAGAACATTACCGTTTCACATCTGGTATGTACCCCCGTACCTCCCCCTCCCCCTCCAGTAGACGATGGTAAAATTTTCGTAAAGGCAAGGAGTGGGAAGTAGGTACTGGATGGCTAGTGGATGAACTGATGTGGAAGTAAGGGTGAATTTGTGTTGTTGTAGAATAAATAATAGGTAAATAAATAAATAAACCGGCACTCTTTACCCTTTACTGCCCCCCGAAATCAGGCCAGTTCCTGACCGACTTTTTTCTCCGTGGGCAGAATTTGCTGAAAACTTGGCTCCAGGGGTAGTTTGACCCCTGAACACGAATATCACATCCGCTCAACCCGAAACCTCCTGGCGCCCGCACCACGGGCACCGGCGCCAAAATACCCCAAATCATTGGCGCCTGTGGCGCGGGCGCCAGGAAGTTTTGGGCTGAGCGAATGTGATATTCGTATTCAAACTACCCCAGGAGACAACATTTGAGCAAATAAAATCTTCGAAACAGATTAATGAACTATGTTGTAAAATCTAATAAATGAGAATTATTGAGGGGGGTCGAAAGCAAAGAGATAGCTCAGCTTCCGTTTCGCACGTGCCCTTAGACGGAAGCCGAGCAAAAGCATATTCCTCCTTCCGTGCTCTTCAGTAAGGAAAGGAAGAAAAATCAATTGCAGCAAGTTTATAAAGTATAAAGTTGAAAACGATAAAGACCGAGAGGTTTAAGAATGCTAATATTGGATAACGTGAGTAGGACGTCGTAATTACGGAAAACTATCAGTTGATGTTACATTATAATATCCGAAAATACTATACGACACATGCAGGTAAATTCTGCCCACTGACAAAAAAGTCGGTCAGGAACTGGCCTGATTTCGGATGACTGGGGCATAAAGGCGTGAAATAGTCCCAAAAAAACAAATGATATAACATAAAATAATATGAAATTTCGACTTCTCACCTCCTCGTGGTCACCTACTAGTTCTCACTCCCTTGAGACGAAATGCATGAAATTTGTCACTTTGCTCGCTGCTTTGGTCTTCTCTTCTGTTATCTTTCATGTTCTGCTTTTCTGCCTTGTCCCCTTCATCATATTACCATCCTTCGGCTGCTCGGATTGTTGTTTTGAAAATGTTTTTTCGTCACCGTCACTCTATCGCCCACGCCTCTCCTCTTTATGGGCGGCAGCAACGTTTACCTTGTTAGTGTTCTGTAAATGTTGGTCACACCCCAGCCTCTGCATCCGTTCCCAAATGATTTCTTACATAGTCCCTCAATTTCGTCGTTCACTATACACAAACACACACACACACACACACACACACACACACACACACACACACACACACACACACACACACACACACACACACACCACACACACACACCACCACACACACTAACTTGCTCTTACAGTAGGAGCATAGTTCGCTTGCGACGGTGTTGCGACGTGTCAGCTAGAATGAGTGTGTTACCCGTCCAAGCCGTTCTCTGCCTTCCTTGGAACGCGCATGTCACAAAAAGTAGTGGAAAAGGAGTAATGCGAAGGATATGATACATTATTGTCAACATGCGCTCAGCACTGACGTGGGCAACGAGTTTTTTTTTTCGTCTAACCCTTTTGTTGGCGCGGAGCCAAACGCAGCCGCGCTGATACCCCCCAGCCGTCCGAAACAACTGCGCTATATGTTGCAATTTACTAGGTTGTCCGGAAAGTTCTCAGCGTCTTGTGTACCTATTTTTGTACATTCATTGCTGATTAAAAACTCATTCTCCCTTGCGTCTCAGTAGTACATCCTGAAGAGAATTTTGTGCACTATTTGATTGCCGTTCGCCATTGCTTGATAACCCCCTTTTCCCAAGACTTTTTGAAGCATGTCAAAAGAGCATTTGGACGATATTTTTCTTCAACTACAAATTGGGTCAATCCGCAGTCGAGACAGCTCGACAAATTAACCAGGTGTGGGGGCCCAATAGTGTTGGAGAAAGCACCGTGCGACAATGGTTCGACAAATTTCGTTCTGGAGATTTCAGCCTTGAAGGATTTGAAGGCGTTTGTGGAGGCTGACCCATCACAGTTCGAGAGATTGCAGAAAAGCTAGGCGTTGGCAAATCCACTGTTGCGGATGGTCTGAAACGCATTGGGAAGGTGAAAAAACTCGACAAGTGGGTGCCCCACAATTTGAGTGACCGGCAGAAATTGGCACGTCTCGAGGTTTCTTCTTCACTGCTTTTGCGCAACAGAAACGACCCGTTTTTGGACCGAATTGTCACCTGTGATGAAAAGTGGATCATGTATGATAACAGGAGACGTTCCGGACAGTGGTTGGATGCCGGCGGACCCCTGAGGCAATTTCCAAAGCCGAATCCTCACGACAAAAAGGTTATGGTCACAGTGTGGTAGTCATCGGCTGGTGTGATCCACTATAACTTTTTGTCACCAGGCCAAACCATCACAGCAGAGTCCTACTGTGAAGAAATCGACGAAATGTACCGAAAATTGCGTCAGCTGCAGCCAGCACTTGTCAACAGAAAGGGTCCGATTCTTTTGCATGACAACGCCCGCCCACACGTTTCACAAATCACTATCCATAAATTGAACGAATTGGGGGTTGAAGTTCTACCTCACCCGCCATATTTCACCAACCGACTATCACCTTTTCAAACATTTTCAGAACTTCCTTGCTGGAAAATACTTCATCAATCAGGACCAGGCAAAAAAGCCTTCGTGGATTTCGTGGATTCTCGACCACCCAGTTTTTCTTTGATGGGATTTCTCGACTGGTGTCACATTGGCAAAAGTGTGCTGATTCGAACGGTGCTTATTTCGATTGAATCCGATGAGTATTAAGAAAGTTATGATCGTTTAAAGTGAAACACTCAAAACGCTGAGAGCTTTCCGGACAACCTAATGGACCGAGTACCAAATCATCGTGCCATATGCCTTCAAGTGAGGTTCTCTCCAAAGAGTTAGTCTTGTTCGCTGCGGGTGATCGGATGTGCTCGGAGGACGGCTCGCTTCAACACAGCGCCGGCCTTTTTTCCACCATTGTTAAAGGCACGTTCCGCGATAAACTAAGGCTAGAACCTCATAAACGTGCATGATGATCAAGCAGGCAACAGTAGAGGATATGCTGCTTTTAAAAGTTGAAAAACAGCAAGCAGAACGCACGGCGCTCATGTTTTAGGCCCATTGGCGCCCGATAGGCCCATGCCGGCCTCCAGTGACCGTGTCGTTGTGACATTGCCATTGCGCTCTCTCGCCCGTCATTTTCTGGCCTCTCTCGTCTCTTATCAGTGTCTCGCCGCCTTTTGCAATCCACAATTGATCTTGACCACCTTACGCTCGTCCGGTGATCATGATCAATTGAAATAAAGAGGGTCTTATTGCGGGCGCTTTTTCGTGGTTCCTTCTCTTCAATAAGTCAACAATCACAGGGCAATTCTATTTTTGAACTGTATTACCTATGAAGTGTGGTCGCGGAAAGTGCCTCTAAAGCTCACAGGGAACCGCAATTGGTGTAAATGGGCTGACGTCGTGCAGAACCCAGCTCTTTTGAAAAGCCCCTCCCCACCCTGTCCACAGCGAACCTGTATAACTGACTCTACCAAGCTAGTCGAAACTTTTTTATCACTCCTTTAGCATGTGTTTTTAGAATCGCCGAAAGGGATTGTCATCATCCTCATCCCGTTGTCGTAACAACGCCACAACATGTCGTCTATACTACTCCAGCTTCCACACAAGTGGTATATCCAAGCACAGCTGTATACCAGGCACCTGGATATCCAGTTGCACAACCATATGCCTATCAACAAGCTCCTCAGCCACAAGCTTCTGCTCCAGTTCCAGCTGTACCTCAAGCTCCACCAGAATACAAACCTTAAAATGCTTATTGTATAATGTCTCCCTATGATTTCTTGCGGCGCAGCCAAGAAGAAAACGATCACAGTTGATTCTTGTGAAAAAAATTTTCTGGGTAATAGTAGATCTGATGGTGAGTCTGATAGTCATGAATAAGTATCCTTCTTTAGAGTTCCATCTTGCTTCGAATACGATTGTGAGAAGCTGCGCGAGCGACGAAGCGTAGCTTTACGCCATGCTGCAATCTCCTCATAAAAATACCAGAGAAAGAGAATGATCGTGAGCTGCTGCAAGGAACAGCGCCAATGTTCATCCTTGCAGCTAGTGCTCCACATAGCCCAGCTGCGTCCAGTGTGGAAAATATATGGGGGATAGGAAGGAGAGTATGGGATCATACGAGGGTACCACCTATCCGCTACCCTCCTATAGCTCTACGCTCTGCACTAATGGACGCTGTTAGTCGCAGGTGGACGCTGGTAGTCGCTGCTGGTCGCTGGATCCATATCTATACATTCCTAGCTGCTGCCGGAGCTCGAAACACTGTCAGGTCGCCGGTGGACTCTGCAGTACAAACTCAGCCTCCGCAATCCGCGCATCATCGTCACATAAATATCATACGACGCTGCAACGCAAATGCGAATTAAATGCGTTGTCTTGTAGCCTGAAAACGTTACAGTCGTAGAAGGTCTCGCGTCTCTGAGTGCTTTATCTGGCACATTCGTGGGATCAAAGCGGTACATTCTCCAGGAGTGTCCACTGAATGCGCAAGTTCACTTCACATAACATTTGATATGGCCTTACTACATGTTATTTCGACATCTATCAGGTTTCAGAGAAGACGTATACACAAAAACCTGAGCCAATAAAATTTATTAGAATGGCTGATGAGCAAAGACGTGAAGCTAATGAAAAACTGCTAAAACGGCGCTGGGAGGACAGGTGAGTCCCACGAATTTCGCTAGGCACTGCAAGCGTTCTCCTCAACTGTCCTTACATGTCGTTTGAACCGAAAGATTTCCTGAAAGAGATCATTAACGGGAATTGGTTACTTCCTAGTTACTGAGATTGTATACGTTTGCGCTAATGTTTCGTTTCTATTTTCCTGGCGTTTCTTCGGGCTACCGCTGCAGGAAAACAAGAAAGTCGTAGCGATACATCAAATTTTCTTCGAAGAATGCGTTGGAAGGTCTACCCTTCTCTGCCGCCCGTTATCCTCAACACGCAAGAGAAATTCGGCGTCAATTCGCGCATGGTGGGAGGGGCATTATCATCTCAGACCAATCTATGCGATGTGTGAGCCAAGGCGGGGAGGACCTGTGACTTTTGTGAGTCACGACAGTGAGTATCAGCCCAAATTTTGTAGAGCCCTTATATACTCCATAGAAGCCATGAAAAGCCAAATGCACGCTGGAATTGCAATCCTTTCTCACTTTAAAGACACATGGTACGATCACACATATTTGATGTGTGTGACTATCAGCCCCCAGCTGTCGAAGCGTAGCGGTTTCCCCGTCCTAACATGCGCAGGAATGGAGATACAGGACCGTGAAACACGCTAATTCCTCCATGCTCCGCCCAATGCCTTTTGCGGCGCAGACTCCCGTTCATGCTAACAGCGTGTCGCGTGCAGCTCTATTGGCACTTTGCCAAGTCCTGCAATTGCGCTTTGGGATACAAGTAGAGCGATGCGGATAACGTTGAGGTGCTGCAAAATAAGAGCCGAAGATGATGACGAGGGCGAGAACTCACAAAAATAAGAACGGCCTAAGCATCCCACTCGTTAGTTTGAAGTATTTCTATGGCTTTGGAGCCGAATTCGCGCCGGATCGCAGAAATTTACACGCGATTTTAATTAATTTGCGTTTCCTTAATTTTTTCATTTTTGTTTTATTTAAATACGTCTACGTTCGTTGCAGAAGCAGCACAGTTGCTCTTGAGTTCTGGCCCTCGTCATCATCTTCGGTTCTTATTTTGCAGCACCTAAAATGTTATCCGCATCAGGAAATTGCGTTTTACTTGTATTCCAATAACAACAAAATACTTACCGAGAAGAGCCAAATATTCCTTGTCAACGACCCTCTCACCAAAATCCAGAGACATGAGATCAGCAAGGCGACGGTGTAGTGACAACTAGTTGGAAACCATGAACTGTAAACCGGGAGCAATTAAATGCAAAATCTAAGTCAGAGCGAGTTTTAAGCGATTTTGGCGATGGGCCAGCTCGACTCTGTGAAGATCAGTTTGTCCTTGTGTAGTGACAAACACCGCACGTTAATTGACGGCGCCGCCCTTGAGTCCGTATCAGAGGACTTCATTTGCTGGGGTGTGTCATTTGGTGCGATAATTTTACTAGTAAGTTGTCAAAACACATCAGGTAGACCGTCTCGCAAGAAAAGCAACTCGTCCGAAACTTCAAAAAGGAACTTGTGGGAGAGGGACCTCTCGTGGCATGTGCGCGCCTCCTATCTCACAATTAGCCAAAGCTTATGCGTAGAGAGCAGAGAGTTCGAGGTAGTAACACTTGGGATCACTCTCCAGCGTTTCCATGTCCCCGCCCCTTCAGGTTCAGTGGAAGCAAGGTTCAGGTTCAGTGGAAACGTGCCTCAGATCAAGAGGATTTGCATTTTTAATCTCAGAACATGGCTCTCTTACATCTTCAAACGCTGAAGGGTTTCGTTTACGGAAACATCATAGTCGTTGGTTCGGACGAGTTACCTCACTCAGTGGACGCCTACCTTTACCCTTCATAAGTCAGCATGGGAATGTGATCGATACAAACCCATACTGGGCCTGATGGCACTTTCCGTAGATAAAAATGTGACTTTGAAGAACAGCGAACTTCCCTCGCTATGGAAGAGAAGATGGTCCTTTTCTTCCATCCATTTTTTTGAAATTGTAGGGGACAGAGGATGCAGGATTGGACGTTGGCGCAGTTCAACAGGGGAGGAGCATTTTGCCCATCGATGTGCCGACCCATCTGCATTTTTTGAGTTTGGCACGTTTACATTAGTGTTAGACGAGCTTACTCCAGCTTCACAAGAGTTCACAGGTTTCACCTGAGTGAGACTCTGTAAATTGAAATTTAAGAAGCTGTGTAAGCGCAAAATGCCCTCCGCCCCACCTCCCCCGTGCCGAACTGCGCGTTTAACGTTTAGTCCAAGCTCGTGAGGATCGCCCGGGGCGAGTGGCTGCCTCTAACTACGCCCTTGCACTGCTTGCCTGGCCTTATAACTTCAGAATTTCACGAAATCCGCGGGGCCTTCACACACGTGCCGCGAAACTTTATACGGTCGGCGTGGGCAAAGACTGTACATAGATCGGGAGCGCTGATTAGACCGGACGCTAAAAAAAATCATGGAATTGAATGTGACATTCCGTCTGCCCCAAGCTTACAGGAAGGAATTCAGGTAAAGTGTCAGCGCTATGCCAAATCAAAGACGGGGGGGGGTGTGTGACGCATTTCCAAAAAAGCATCCGACCAGAATCAACCTGACACGTCATGCAGATGACTAATGATGTCCAAAAGACACGTATTCAACAGTGCGCTTGTAATCGATTTCGTTCCCCACCAAGAATGCCTTCGCATAAGCTTTCCCGATTGTCCACGCTTATAGTCATTTATCCTTTTGCGTCAACCGCCGATGCTGCGATTTTTCGAACAACAACATCACCAGCAGTCTGTGGACTTACCAACACAGTGCGTTTCTATTTTACTTAATCGCTTGGAGAATGTCCCTTCTTTAATGCTCGACTCTGACCCTTGCCACTACTGAAAGAGAATTGATTTCTTGGAACTTATTGTAAATGAAGTCGTCAGAGAAAACGTAGAAGGCAAGCAGGTTGAAGGCACGAGGCGATCTCGTCTAAGAATCTGAGCGCTTCGTGGGGAATAGTGTGGACCGCATAAACATGCCACAAGATTTAATTGGGCGCACTAAAGACGCTTTTCGACCAGCGGCCTACCGAATTTTCCTCAGCTTGCTGCGAAATCTCCCTCTGAAAAGAACCTGTGCGCTCACCTCCTTAGATTCTGATCCTTGCCTGTGCCAGTGCGTTCGCAGCTGCACTACCGTGCCTCTTTTTAAACTCAATAGTGCACAGGAACGGGGCTTGACGGTACTGCGACACGACTTCCGACCCTGAACTCCACCTACGCTGTCACATGGCCGCTCACACGCCTGACCATAGCCGAACGCGCTATGTGTCTGCTCGTTCCCACTTCGGGTTGTCCTCTGTCCTCACTGCGTGTGCAGGCCGGATTTTGTGCTGCACCTTGAGGTTAGCACGGGTGGTGTCCGGAAGTCGGCTACCACTTTCTGTCAGTCTCATCCGCTGGTTCTCAAGTGAATCAAGTGACGAAGGTGTTACACTGTACACTTTGGGAGGGTGTTATTGAAGCAGTTAGTAGGCCTATAACTGTAGGATGTCTCGAGCTTTATTACCTCACCTTGTACCTGTATCTTACCTGGTCAGAAAGATCTTTCACCCTATCACTATGAAGAGGGTCCTCCAACACAACAGAATCGATTTTCTCTCGCATAGCGTTCTTTTCATTTATTACAAAACATTCCAAGCTCATCAAATAATGCTCTTTGCCATCGGTAACCTTCGCCCTTCTCACTAGCAGTTTGCCGATTCAGCTTCGCGAGCGGACGAACGGTGAACCTCGTCACGTTCATTTGAAGTTGTTCCTGATTGGGTGGGCTGTGTGATGCTTCTTCAGAAGGTGGAGAAACATTCCCGCTATCACACCGTATGAAGTCGTAGACGCTAACTGTACATGTTTGTGGGACAAATAAAGGATAAAGGATAAAGTCTTCGCCGTTGATCAATCCCTTTGTGGGATGCGGCACGCATTCTACTTCCATTCAGAATCGTAGTGGCTTATTGAATGCGATGTGGCCTATACAATGACTTGCGGTGGCCAGCCGATGTACAAGTCAGTGTTTTATCCTCCCAGACGAATCTGGTACCAATTTACCGTCCCCGGAGGGTAGAAGGCTTGGTTGGCCTGGGCGGGTGT